GGGAGCCAACGGCCTCTCTGCTGAGGCTATCATGTCACAACCAAGGATCAAGATCCCGGTTGATGCAGCGGTCGAGTACGAGTTCGACCAAAAAAAATTCGAGGAGTACGTCTCATCCTCTTCCTCCAGATCCTCCTCCCCTCACAAGTGTAGAAAATCTATTGTTTGAAGAAGGTTCGCTGGTCTTCAGATCTAAAGACCCAGGGTGATAACTCTCGCCCAATCATTATTGAAGGTTCCTCTCACAACACCCCTACGACATCCAATAAAGCTAAATATGTGACTCGCAACAACTCCTCTTCAGTCAAGGAGTTGTCCGCTGAATGCGCACTAGTTCTGACGAAGAGGGCTCATCAGAGGTGGCGCCAATATCTCATGCTCTAACTCGCCAAAGCCTTAAAACTGGTTGACGGGATCCGTTATCATGAGGATTTGGAGTTTAAGAGGCATCAAGCGACTAAGCCACCACAACAACTAGTAAATGATTACTCCTCCAAACCATCAACCAACAAGTTGGTCCGGGTTAAAAGGACTCGCTCAACTCTTGAGGAGCACATCCAGAAACATCACACACTACTTGCGTATACACGAATTCTTATACAGAAAGTGCAGGAATTGTAGAAGAAAGAGGTAGCCAAAGAACTGCCAAAATCACGCCAAGTCTAGATACCGAAGTCCAAGACAACACCAAAATCAACTCGGACAATCCCCGAATCAGCCTCTCTACACCGGGACAGTCTGAACTGTCTCGCACCTGGCCAAGACAGTTCAGACTGTCTCACAAATGGCCACGATAGTATAGACTGTCTCGCGCTAGCCCTAGCTCCCGTGGGTGTTTCCAAGCATCCTTCAGCCTCCGTTCCCGCTTCGTCTACTTCTGTATCTCCGGTGAATACTTACGATAGCGTTGATCTTTCAAAGTTTAAGATTATGATTATGGATCGCCTTGGTCCTCTATGCAAAGATCAAGGCAAAGCTCCTGTTAAAGCACACTTAGGTCTGGTGAACAAATCCCGACCGACTCTTCAGACTAGGGGTTGTACACGCCCTCTTATCAAGTCGATTCCTATAACCGCCCGCTTGGGGGTGCGTGCGAAAGACCAGGAGCCCGTTAAGGTCCCACCCTTACAAAGGCATGGTTCCAAACGTGTGACTCCCAAGAACGCTAACAAGGGGTTATCCCTCTAGAAGAAAATATGTTCGTCAGACGACAGTGTTATACCTAGAGATTCAAACCGACAGCCGATAGGTTCCTCTGCCCACAACGCCGATGAGTTGTACTATCGGGCTAGGGTACGAACAAATCTCAAAAGAGAAGTATCCCAGAATTGAACTCTCAATATATTTGTGAGAGGCTTATTAGGACAGTATTCTCAGAATGTAACTGGCCTACGACCGCTCCACGAAGGGTCTCAGTATTTGAAAAACCTTCCATTGAAGCACCCAAATCTAAATCAAGATGCTTCCGCAAAAGGAGATTGGTCATTCAGGATAACGAACACTTAGAAGTCACCATCGACATGGTCAATAAAGGAAATTCAACACGGTGTTCCATTCCCGATTCTTTTCTAAGGGTGTCCCAGCGTCTCACTTGGCTACAGTCGGGGACCATCAGACCGAGGCCAAATAAAGGATAATCCTTAGATGATGAAGCATCAAACACTTTCTCTGTGATTTCTTTTGACAATATAGTCTCTAACATGGTACGAACTTGAGAAGCGTTCATGGTCACTACTGAATAAATGGCTCAAATGCTTCAAGAAGCTTTGGGTAAGCAGAAAGAAGAATTTAAAGCCGAAATAGAGTTGACCATGCAACAGATGAGGGGGTTACATGCCCAACAGCTTCAGGCCTTATCAAATCAGCTTGTTGAGACCAGTCATCGCAACACTACCAATCTTGTAGATAGCGACTCAGAATTGGAGGAAAATCACAACGCTGTTACCTCCCTTGATGACAAAAATGATAGGGGTGGTCCAATCGATAATAATAACATTAAGGGTAGTCTAATTGAGCCTCCTTAACCTCCTCAGCAATCCCTAAAGAAAAATACGGATGAGGATAAGAAGATGAAGGACCTCGAGAGTAAAAGCAACACCTTGATGTCTACTCAAGAGGTGAAGAAGACTGACATCCCGTGTCCATACCCAATAGAATGGGAGTCAATTCCATATCCGACGAAGTTCAATATAATTAACTTCACACCGTTTGATGGAAAAGGTTCACCCACTCAGCACCTGATTTATCTCAAGTCCCACCTAGGCGTGATCTCTAGAAATGAACCTCCAATGGTTCGGTCATTCGTTGGCACCTTTCATGGAGCTGCCTTTGATTGGTACCGCCATCTCAAGCCAGGAACTACCAACAGCTAGGAGGATATGGAGAGCATGTTTCTCACCAATTTCTTCGATGATGATAAGGAGTTGTCAATCGAAACACTCTTCGATATGAAGCAGAGGGACGGAGAATCGGTCAACAACTTCGTCAAGCGCTTCTGGAATAAGACGATAAATTACCGAGACCAGGTCATCAACTCGGTCGACTCCAACTCATAAGACCTTGGTACGTTTTTGGAATAAAACTAAGGCATGAAGCCTAATCACCTCGACTTAAGAGTTTCTCAAAGTGTTAGCGTCCACTCAAAATGCCTCCAAAATTTAAAGACGAACTTATACATGGTCAAAGAAAATTACGAATACTTAAACATATGAGAACACAATCATAAAGGTGAAAAAATAATTCTAATTGACAAAGGTGAACCTTTTTTCATCTATATATTCAAAATTCTTACAATACGAAAGCATTTATAAAAGCAAAAATGAGGCAAAATACATATGAACCCCTAAGGGGTCAAACCTATAGCGAGTGCGAACTTGAAGCTAGAGCGACTCTGGGAGCTGGAGCAAAACTTGAGACTAGAGGGGTAACAGCAGTAAAAGTCAGTGGAGGAGACGATCGAGGCTCGGACTTGACCTCTTTGTCCACTTCCTCTTTGGGCTGGCTCACCCAACTATCATGGGCCGAGTCCTCGCCTGTTACATGAGCCGACTCTTCATAATCTTCATCCCCGTTCTCACATCAAGCACAAGCCCCACTCCTCTCCTCTCTATCTCCTACAGAGTGCTAAGGCAATTAGCCAATCAAGGGGGTTAGTAGAACTACTTAGGATTGATCTTGTGGTCGACCGGAAGCTACATCTTTATATAGTAAAACCTACATTACAGAGTACCGTTGTGATAATTTTTAATGATCTCAAACCGGTAGGCTTTGGACTCCAAGTGGTTGAGGTGACCCTACAATGCATGTATCTTGGCAAGATGTGACTTGTGTTATTGCTCGACCCCCAATGCAGCTCAGGTGGCCTCTTACCTCAACTTCTCATGAGTGAGCTCCTCCTCCTCTAACCGGTTTTGTAGGGCCTTAACATTTAAACAAGCCAGACGAGCCTGCTCAAAAGCATTAGCACTCTTCTGCCTCTCAACCTTGATCTCTTCCTTCAGATACCTTATAGTGTCATCTCGCATATGAAGCTCGTGCTTTAGGTGATCGAGGTCTTCTTGTAGCTTCTTTATTTGGGAAGAATTTTGGCTATTTGAATTCATCAAGCCCTTTAACTTTCCATCCTAGATCTCAACTTCCTGCTTTAGTTTGTTTTAGTCTCTCTTCCAGCAGGCTAATTCATCTTCCTTGGTAGTCAATTTTAGGTTAGCAGCCTCCCAAGCTACCTTCTCAGCTTCTAGTTTCTCTGGGAGCTTGAAGTAGATCTCCCAGATATCCTCTAAGCACGCGAATACCTTTTGCTCCACCAAAGCTCCTCGAACTAAATAACTCCTCAGGTTCTGCCAGAGACCACAATCGAACATAGCAGAGATGATCTTATTATCCTTAGGTAGAAAGAACTGATCTAAGGCTCTAGCTTGGGTCATCCTGGATTCCAAGGCTAACCCCCTCTTGTCAATATTTCACCTAGGGACGAACTGATTCTCCTCTGACGGCTCTCTATCATATCTAGGGCCAACTTCATGCATCCTCATTAATAGTTTTCTCAGCTCCCCCCACACTTTTGGTGTAAGCTCTTTAATGCAGTGGGGGAAAGGCCACCCAAAATGCTATCCCCCTCGGCAGAGGTGCCTCCTCAGTGGCCGACACTTTGCCTTGTTGGTGAACCGACTAGGTCAGCACGACAGGAGTTTTTTCCTTCTTAGCTTGAGCTTGATCCCCTTCAGGCTTGTCTATAATGATCTGAGTTCCCTTTTTCTCTTGTAGGGGGCTCATCATTGATAATGACAATGTCTAAAGGCATGGCTAGAGAATCCTCTTGGATAGGGACAGCAGAAGTGTCACCTTCTAAAGCTTCCTAGGGGAGTGGGGTCTAGCCTGACAGTTGACTCGCCACACCCCTCTGTGTAGAAGACGATGTTTCCATCTTCATCATAACTCCAACCTTCTCTCTCAAAGCTTCAGCACTTTCAGAGGGGCCTTGGTTGCCCACCTTCCTCGGTCTCCTCCTCTTCTTCTCAGACCTCTCAGCCTGAACAGTGGCAGAGCTTGACCCAGCCAATCGACCTGTGACCTCGGCCACATTGGCCTCTATCTCCTAGGCCTCCTCAGGAGCCAAGTCAGAGCGATGATGCTTCTGGGCCTCGTAGATGGCCCTTTTGAGATCAAGCTAGAGGGGCCACCAGGGATGTCTCGAGGTCATCGAGTTGTAGCACCAACACTACTACAGTATTGTTGGACCCTAGAGGGGAGGGGGGTGGGAGGGGGAGTGATTAGGGTCTGAAGGCAATAATAGTACAATAAAAATTAAAGGCAAGCAATCACCACAAATTTAAAATCCTGAATAAAAGAAAGGTTAAGATAGAAATCGTTATCCAAATGACGTGCGATGTGTTCACGAGGTTCGGCTCTCTAGCCTATGTCCCTGTTCCCCACTCTCGAGGAGAATTCACTACACAACCTGGTTTGAAAGCCGAAACTTCTTCTACACAATGATCTTCACGAGATCTCACACCAACAAAATTGATCTCCACGAGATCACCACATATCAGCAGTAACAGAAGAAGAGCTCTCTCTATACAGCAGTCCTATGGCAAGGAGAGAGATTGCACTTAAAGCTTTGGGTATGGGATGTGTAGGTGCAAAAATAGGGAATTGAGGATTTGAAAGTTGAAGCTTTTAAACACAAGAATTAACCACAATAAATTTTCTCTTGCAAAGTTAGTTCTTAAATAAAGGGGTAGTTGGATATATATAGGGAGTTGAAAGAAGAAGCCAAAAACCCTTGTAAAAGGACCAAAAAGCCATAAACAAACAAAACAGAAAACTAGTTGTTACTGTGCAACAACTCTCTGATGAGTCGACTTATGGGTTTACTTATGAGTCGACTTATATGAGTCGACTTAGCAGAAGAAAAATTACAACTCCGCTGCACTTCGTGAGTCGACTTATGAGTCGACTCATGAATCGACTAATGATTCGACTAAACGTGCACAGATCTGAAGTGCACAGAAAAACTCAACTTTAAACCATATTTAAAATATCAAATAAATTCCAAAAATTATAAAATTTGGGGAATAGTTTATAAACGTATAATTGAGCATGTTCCAAAAGAAAGTTACCAAATATGATTCCCCGTTTGTGAAATCTCTTAGTTTTGAAAAAACATGTAAAACATGTACATAAATTTCTTAGTTTTGGAACAAATGAGTTAAACAAAGATTTGAAATATTTTCAAATGATTTTATAGATTTAAATAAAAGATGTTTTAAGTCTATAAACTAATATCTTAGTATTTTGTCAAAATCACATTAAAACACAAATGTGTATGTGTTATATCCCAATAGCTTCAAATAAAATCTATAACTACTTGCCTACATTATAGCACTAGAGAGGAAAAAAATAGCAAATATCCTCACATAGAATTGCATTTCTTTGAGTCTCGATATTGCTTTGAGTTGATGAAGCTTCCACTTGTATATGTTGTTCTTGATTAACATTTGCTTCATCACATTGCCTCCACCTACAATAGATATTAACGTTGTAGCTCATATTCTATCCAATCCTCCATTTATGGTACTAACAATCTTGATATTTATATTAACTATAATATCATCCAACAAGCAATTAGTACCGATAATGGTGGTTATAAATCATCATCAAAACAAAAGGCCTAACAATCTCCTCCTTTTTGATGATGACAACCAACCATTATATTTGAACGAAATAAATATAGCTTACAGATAGGTGCTCCCCCTATCTATGAGCTCCCCCTTACTATGTGCACAAGTGAGGAGATTTCTCTCCCCCTTTGTCACCATCAAAAAGGGAAATATAAAATGAGAAACATACTTAAATTTATAAAATGTACCTCAAGTGTTGGTCTCACCGTATCACCTTCTTCAAATGTTTGGATTTACGACCCCTACCAGCATTACTACCAACCCACTCCTCTTGGAATCAACCCCGGTCCTCCCACACACTCCTCTTGGAAATTTGTATGTGCTTAAGCATGTTATAAAAATGAGGCATATACTATGTAACCAAGCAAACAAACAAGCAAAGAAAAATTTTCAAATAATGCATAGGCCCAAACCATTTCTTATGCGATAAAAATCTTCTTTACTAAGAGGCTTAGTAAAGATGTCCACTAATTGAGATTTAGTATCAATATGAATAAGGGATACATCTTTCTGCTCCACATGGTTACGTAAGAAATGATGGCGTACATCAATATGCTTAGTTCTTGAGTGCAAAACGGAATTTTTGGAAATGTTTATGGCACTAGTGTTATCACAAAATTTTTTTGTATTTTGAAAATACAAATCATAATCAACTAAACTTTGTTGCATCCATAAAAGTTGGGCACAACATAAGCTGACGGTAATATATTCTGCTTCCGTAGTGGACAGGGCAACACAATTTTATTTCTTGGAAGCCCAAGAGACAAGGAAGTTATTCAAAAATTGACATGTACCACTCGTACTTTTGCGATCTATCTTACAACCGGCAAAGTCGGCATCACAAAAACTATAAAGATCAAAAGAGGTGCTTTTAGGATAAAATAAATAAAGATCAATTGTTCCATTGGTATATTTGATAATTCTTTTAACCACAATCAAATGAGATGTTTTAGGAGAAGTTTGAAAACATACACATGCATACACACTAAACATGATATCGGGTCTACTAGCGGTAAGGTAAAGAAGACTACCTATCATACCTCGGTATAATTTTTGATCTATATCCTCACCACTATCATCTGCATCAAGCTTGATACTTGTACTCATGGGAGTTGGTGCATGCTTAGAGGTCTCCAATCCAAACTTCTTCACCAATTCTCTAGTATACTTGCTTTGTGAAACAAGAATCTCATCCTTAGTTTGCTTGACTTGGAGCCCAAGAAAGAATGTGAGCTCTCCCATCATGCTCATCTCAAAGTGATATTACATAACTTTAGAAAATTCTTTGTGTAAAGTTTTATTAGTAGCACCAAAAATGATATCATCAACATATATTTGAACTAAAATAAAATCATTTTTCTTTTTTTTTACAAAAAGTGTGTTATCAATCTTCCCTTTAGAAAAAACATTTTCAATAAGAAAACTAGAGATGCGAGCATACCAAGCTCTAGGAGTTTGTTATAACCCATATAAAGCTTTTTGAATCCGGTAAAAATGATTAGGAAATGAATGATCCACAAAACCGGGGGCTTGCTCAACATAAACTTCCTCTTCTATAAAACCATTTAAAAAGACACTTTTAACATCCTTTTGAAATAATTTGAAATTCTTAAAGCTTGCAAAAGCCAAAAACATTCTAATAGATTCTAACCTTGCAACCGGTGCAAATGTTTCATTATAGTCTATGCCCTCCTCTTGATTGTATCATTGGGCAACTAAACAAGCTTTATTTCTTGTTACTATGCCATATTCATCAAGTTTATTTCTGAAAACCCATTTAGTTCCAATCACACTAACATTGTTAGGTCTAGGAACTAATTTCTAAACATTATTTCTTTAAAAATTGTTTAGTTCATCATGCATAGCCAAAACTCATCTTTTAAAGCATCATTAATCTTTTTAGGTTCTATTTGAGATAAGAAAGTCATATTACCACATTCACTCAAGACCTTTGAGCGAGTTAGAACCCCTTGTGAAGGACTCCCTATAATTTGCTCCTTTGGATGATTTGATGCGAATTTCCATACTTTGGGAAGTTCTTCTAGCTCATGAGTGTTGATGCTTTACACATCCTTTTGTGTATCTATTGAGGGTGTTTTATTTAATTGCAAGCCTTCCAATCCTCCCACAAAATCATCATCATCATTATTCCTAGGTAAACTATCTTGTAAACTAATATTAGTCTCATCAAAAGTAACGTTTATAGATTCTTCAACAACAAGTGTTTTTTCGTTGAAGACTCTATAAGCCTTACTTCTAGGTGCATATCCTAGGAAAATGTCAACATCAATTTTAGAATCAAATTTATCATGGTGATCTTTTGTATTTAAAATAAAACATTTACAACCAAAGATACAAAAATACCCAATAGACGGAGTTTTGCCATAAAATAGTCTATAAGGAGTTTTCTTGAGCTTAGGTCTAATCAAAACACGGTTTAAAACATGGCAAGCTGTATTGACGGCTTCCGTCCAAAAGTACTTAGGCAAATCAAAAGAATTTAACATAGTACATGCCATCTCTTGTATTGTATGATTTTTTCGTTCAACAACACAATTTTATTGTGGTGTTCTTGGGGTGGAAAATTCATGAGTTATACCATGATGTGTATAAAAATTATTAAAAAAGTTATTTTGAAATTCACCACCATGATCACTTCTAATTTTAACAACTTTCAAATCTTTTTCATTTTCTATTCTTTTTACTAAAAAGGAAAATTCTTCAAAACATTCATTTTTATTTTTAAGAAAGATTGTCCATGTAAAGCGAGAAAAATCATCAACAATAACAAACACATAGTGTTTTCCTCCTAGAGAGGTAACACGCATAGGACCAAATAGATCAAGATGTAATAATTGCAGGGGTTTAGAAGTTGATACCTCATTGATGGATTTGAAGGTAGATTTGGTTTGTTTACCTTTAGCATAAGCTTCACAAACGGTATCATTGATGAAATGTAAGTTTGGTAACCCCTTTACAAGACTCCTTTTGGATAGCTTGGATATCAATTCCATGTTGGCATGACCAAATCTTTTATGCCATATCCAAGGATTCTCATCAATTGCCACAAGGCACTTCACATCTTAATTGGCTAATTCGTTCATCTCAAAAATATATACATTAGATTTTCTATTAGCAACAAAAATAATTTTTCTATTCATGCTAATAATGCACTTATCCGGTTTAAAAGAGATATCAAAACATTTATCACTTAATTGGCTAATACTAAGAAGATTATGATTTAAGCCTCTAACCAAATAAATATCTTCTATAACGAGAGAAGGTATCTTACCAATATTACCAATGCCAATAATTTTACCTTTCTCAATCCTTGATAGGGTTACAAATAGCTCTTTGTTGCCCGTCATGTGATGTGAGTAACCACTATTAAGGTACCACATCCCTTTACATCGTGTTTGTGATGTTCCCTACATAAGATGACGTAGAAACTTTAGGTACCCAAATCTTGGGTCCTTGGGAGTTAGTGTATTTGGTACCTTTGGGTACCCATGCCATATCATAATAATCCACATTATTTTTAATTCTACAATGGGTGGATATGTGACCATGCTTCATGCAATATGTGCATACAAAGTGTTTCTTATGTGTAGAAACATATGATCTATGATGTTCATTTCTTTGAAAACGATGATGATTAAAGTATGCATGAGTGGTGATCTATGATGTTCATTTCTTTGAAAACGATGATGATTAAAGTATGCATGAGTGGGTTTAATTCTACTGTTAGCAATCTCTAGTCTTTTAATTTTAGATCTTAATTGTTTGTTTTCAAAATCAAGGTCTCCTATCAATTCATCTTTTTGAGCAAGAGAGGATTGTAATTGCTCAACCATGGAAGCATGCGATTTTTAAATGAAGAGTATTCTTTAGCTATTCTTTTAAATTCAACATTTAATTCTTCTAATGCGGTAGCTAGATCACATTGCATATAAAAAGATTCACTTTCGGAGTCGGATATAATTACCTCATCTTCATCGGCCATAAAGCAAATGTTATGGTCATGAAGAGCAAACTTTGCTCCTTCCTCATCGCTATCTGAATCGCTTGGTTCAAATTCATCCCATCCGGCATACATCGCCTTCTTTTTCTTGTACTTCAAATATTTTTTTTTTGATCTTTGGGCAATCCTTGGCAAGATGACGTGGTTCATTGCACTCAAAGTATTTTCCTATACAAGAAGAAAACTTGTTGTTAGATTGGTTATTAAAATTCTTGTTTAATTTTATTAGTTTAGAAATCCTTCTAGAGAGGTGAGCCACTTCTCTAGAAACATCGGTTTTACTATCCGAGGAGGAGGAGTTATCGATAGCTCCTTTGAGAGCAACGGTCTTCACTTTGTGGGATGGTTCCTCAATTGCCCGTGGGGGCACTTCCTCTACTTCCTTCTCTTTGATCTTCTTCTCGTAGACTTTGAGCTTGCTAATGAGACAATCAAGGGTTAGTGTGGTGAGATCGTGAGCTTCCTCTATGGCCGTAGCTTTGGGTTCCCACACTGGAGACAATGATCGAAGAATCTTGTAGTTCATCTCTTGGGTTAGCAACTTCTTATCTAAGCAATGCAATTCATTGATAATATTAGTGAATCGAGAGAATATAGTATCACTGGATTCATTAGGAAGCATTTTAAACAATTCATAATCATGCATGAGCCCACTAATTTTTGATTCCTTAACTTGAGGGGTTCCCTCATGTGTGATACAAAGTTTGGTCCAAATTTCGTGAGCGGTAAAACAAGTAGAAACCCTATTATATTCATTTGGTGTGAGGCCACAAATTAAGGCATTCATGGTCTTAACATTAAGATTAGCTTGGAGACTCTCACCATCGGTTATTGAGCTAGTTTTAGACTTTTCTACATATTTCTTTTCAATAATATCTAGGATGTCAAGATCAATGCAACGAAGATAGCTTCTCATTCTAGCTTTCCAATATGTAAAGTTGCTACCGGTGAAAAATGGGGGTCTAATGGTGGGTTGTCCCTCTAACATATGCACATTCATTAAAGCCTCCATAAGATCTTTTCTCTAAGGTGGTTAGACAAAAAAACAAGTATAGAGACCAAGCTCTGATACCAATTGTTGGACCGTAGAGAGGGGGGGTGATTAAGGTCTGAAAGCAATAATAGTGCAATAAAAATTAAAGGCAAGCAATCACAACAAATTTAAAATGTTGAATAAAAGAAAGGTTGAGATAGAAATCGTTATCCAAATGACGCACGATGTATTCACAAGGTTTGGCTCTCTAGCCTACGTCCCCGCTTCCCACTCTCGAGGAGAATCCACTACACAACCCGGTTTGAAAGCCAGAACTTCTTCTACACAACGATCTCCGCGAGATCTCACACCAACACAGTTGATCTCTGAGATCACCACACTATCAGCAGTAATAGAAGAAGAGCTCTCTATACAGCAGTCCTATAGCAAGGAGAGAGATTGCACTTGAAGCTTTGGGTGTGGGATGTGTAGGTGCAAAAACAGGGAATTGAGGATTTGAAAGTTGAAGCTTTTAAACACATGAATTAACCATAATTAATTTTCTCTTGCAAAGTTAGTTCTTAAATAAATGGGGTAGTTAGATATATATAGGGAGTTGAAAGAAGAAGCCAAAAACCTTGTAAAAGGACCAAAAGCCATAAACAAACAAAACAGAAAACTAGCCGTTACTGTACAACGACTCTCTGATGAGTCGACTTATAGGTCGACTTATGAGTCGACTTATATGAGTTGACTCAGCAGAAGAAAAATCATAACTCCACTGCACTTCGTGAGTCAACTCATGAGTCAACTAAACGTACACAGATCTGAAGTGCACAGAAAAACTCAACTTTAAACCATATTTAAAATATCAAATAAATTCCAAAAATTATAAAATTTGGGGAATAGTTTATAAACATATAATTGAGCATGTTCCAAAAGAAAGTTTACAAATATGATTCCCCGTTTGTAAAATCTCTTAGTTTTGAAAAAACATGTAAAACATGTACATAAATTTCTTAGTTTTGGAACAAATGAGTTAAACAAAGATTTGAAACATTTTCAAATGATTTTATAGACTTAAATAAAAGATGTTTTAAGTCTATAAACTAATATCTCAATATTTTGTCAAAATCACATTAAAACCCAAATGTGTGTGTGTTATATCCCAATAGCTTCAAATAAAATCTACAACTAATTGCTTACATTCTAGCACTAGAGAGAAAAGAAAAATAGCAAATATCCTCACATAGAATTACATTTGTTTGAGTCTCGATATTGCTTTGATTTAATGAAGCTTCCACTTGTATATGTTATTCTTGATTAACATTTGCTTCATCACATTGCCTCCACCTCATATAGATATTGACGTTGTAGCTCATATTTCATTCAATCCTCCATTTATGGTACTAACAAGCTTGATATTCATATTAACTATAATATCATCCAACAAGCAATTAGTACCGATAATGGTGGTTGTAAATCATCATCAAAACAAAAGGGCTAACAAGTATGTCCTTATTGATTTCAAGCAATGAGGGGCAAGTTAAGATAGCATCAGCTATAAAGACCCACACAAATCTCTCTTTCCAGTCCTTATTAGATTCAGGGCATTGGAGATGAGTTTATAGTCATCCAATAGTTGTAGATAGTAATGGCTCTCTTGCTAATTCACCTTTACATTGATGATATGACCGAGAACTCTCAGAGTCAGTTCAACCCTAGTCGGTCATAGATGACCAAGAACCCCACAATGGTAACTATGGACTTTGGCTTCATCTGCGATAGCAAAACTCCTAGGGTTTTGAAGATGCGGTGGAGAAAAGTGTGGAGTGGAAGATGTAGGCTGTACTCAAAGTGTTTGATATTGTCACATTGCCTACTGACTAAAGGTACGCAATTTTTGCATGCTTAGAGAACTATATCATTTCTTTTGTCCCCTTTAAATCATCATAACTAACTTGATCATCAAAAAAATCATCAGAAAACCAACTCTAGTCCTCTAATGTATTGCACATGTGTAGGACTCTCTTCCTATTAGGAGATCAAGCATCAAATGAGATCAAGGGACCCTAACCTATTTAAAATTACCCCTAAATCCTGTTGTTAATTATATATGCATTAACAACAAAAAAAAACGTCTCATTTTCATGGTGTCCATGGGTGAGAAAGTAGCTTTCCCAATGGTAACTTCTTCATTATCCTTTTTTAAACTGAAATTCAATGTGACAATGAGGTTGAAAGTTCCATATCATGCATCATTAATGATATATAAATCTGAAATGAACCATAATCTTAGTTTTGTGATTGAGAATGAAGATGATTTGAAGTGTGTGGAGGAACATAATCGCAATATTAGTTGTGAGGAGATCCTTATGCAGACTATTGTAATATAGAGGTTTGCACTTCTGAAAACACCTAAAAGAAACCTTCTAAAATGTAAATTATCGTTAGACTTTAGGGAAAGTTTTGATTTCAGTGGTTAAAGTTTGGAGAAATGATAAGTATAGAGTAATGTTTCAGATTTAATGTTATATACAACAGACGCATGTTAACTATATGCACTAGTTGTTAAGCTTACTAGATTGGTGTTAGTTTTAATAATCACACGTTAACTATTAAACTTTTTTTTATAAGTTTAACAATAAATTATTATATTTTGTATTATTTTTAGTTTTGATATTGGGATCTGATTGGTTTTTAAATTTGTGCAGCATTATTATTACATTGAACTCATAGTGTGATCATAGTAATCACGTAACCATTTATTATTCAGAGAGAATACCCAACAAAAATCTGTGTGATGAGAATGTAATGAGATCTAGTGACATTATTAACAATATTATCATGATTCTCACATGGTGACAAATTGCATTAACCAAAGAAGGACAATAATTTAAAAATGCTGATAAATTAACATTAGCTTTAGTATACTATTCTATGGCCAAAAAGTTTAAATTTGGATTCGCAAAGAACAAACCAAAATACATTTGAGTTTTTTTTGCTAATATAAGGAAACTTATAGCTACCCTTGGGTGTTAGTTGCCTCTCCTTTTAAGAATGAAATAAAACATCTTATTAAGAAGCTTGTGAACAAACACACTTATGGGCAGCATGACAACTTCAGTTTTTTCAATGGCATCTCGCAAATACATTGCAACACAATTGCAACCACTGTCGGCTAGAAATCCACTCTATTAATGTGCAAAAGGAGTTCCTCATAAAGTATAGACTCATGATTGATTATAGTAAGATATGATGGAGGTAAATAGAGAATATGAGCAATTATATGGGGATACTTATGAGTTGTACGATCAACTACAATGGTAAAAATTTGAACTAGACTCTTACTTTTTTAATTATCTTCTAAGTATATGCATTACATGTTAAACATAAACTGTAGATGTGAATGTTGATGAATGATTGTTAAGTTCAACCTTTAACTATTAGCCTTAATGAATGACTATTAAGTATAATAATTGGGTGTTAATATTAATAGCTAGCTGTTAACTTTTACAATTAGTTTATAATTTAACTGAATTATGTAGCCTAAACATAATATGTTTTGTAATTATTGTCATTGGTATGAGTGCATAGTTAAGAAGACAAATCTAGGTAGCTATATTTGCATTGAATAGAGTGAAAAAAGGTTTACAAGACTCTTTATTTATTATGTTACTTGGATAAACTGTTCTTTGAGTACATGTTGGCCCCTTATATTTTTTTGATGGTATCTTTTTAAAAGATTGATATAAAGGTATACTTCTTAGTGCCATAGCATACAATAGAAATCAAGTCATATTTTCCTTAGCTTATGACATATGTGACCATAATTTTTTTATTATTTAAAATCAGCTCCTCCAAGTTTTATGGTCCATACTTTATAAAAGGCCTTGGAGGAGCCAATTTCAGTTAATAAAAATTTCCTAGTCATATATGCAATAAGCTAAGGAAAATATCACTTGATCTCTATCGTATGCTATAGCACTAAGAATGATACCTTTATATCAATCATTCAAAAAGGTACCATTAAAAAATGTAAGGGCTTTACATCTACTCAAGAAACCATTAATGCAAGCATCATAACAAATGAAGAGTATGG